ATAGTACATGATTGACAGATTCTCTGCAAATGTGGGGCTGTCTGATCACAGCCCCCAGAACAGAGACGGTAGGAGTCTGTCTGTGGAAATCCACAAATTAATGACAGTAGATAGGGAAATGTAGTTTATATAATTTGTTTTGCTTATAGGTACACAGTCTAGAGAGTAAAACTGACATTTATGAGTTAATTTCTAAAAATATATTTTACGTTTCTCTCTTCTTATCAGGGGGGGCGGTGCCCCAGCGCCCCCTATGGGCCGGCCGCCACTGCTGCATACACAAACATATGTGCATCAATTTGACTATTTTGCACATGCTGGATTAAAGTTAATGCAGCATGATCTGAAGCTGATGTTGAGTAAAGATAAAAAACGAGGAAAGGGAATATTTTGCTCTGAGTTAGAGGCTTGTAACGTTAAAAAGGGCTACGCTTGATGAATAAAACATTTTTAGAATGCAACCCAGAGAAAAGCTGGATGTTTCATTTGATCAATATCACTCTAAAGGCTTTTCAATATCACTTTAATCACTTTTGATAAATAATAAAACCACTTTTTCTTCTTTCTATTATATGCACCCATCAAGGCTCTGCATTGACTTGCTATTTGCTTTTTCATTGTTGGGTTAAGTTGGGGCAGAGAACATATTTAGTCTGCAAATTAAAGACCTGAATTCAAATTTACCCCATTAAAAGGTTTAAACATTTGTTTCTCTTAATTTTGACTTGACTACAGCTGAAGGAGATAACGTTAGAAATAACCTGGTGGGAAAGACATTTAATTTGCAACATTTAAATGATCATTTAACTATATAGCCTTATTAACTGGGTATACTCATAAACCATAAGATTTTTTTTTTTATTCAGTCAGGTAGCAACCAGAGACTTTATTGTACAGTTCATTGTTATGAAATGGAGAGGAAGTTATAAATATGTGATTTTTTTAGCTACAAATAAATATCTGTTTAGTGTGGGGTGCATTTTGCTCTCTTGACTCAATCATTTGTAGAACAACCTTTTACTGCAATTATAGCTAAAAGTATTTTTGTGGTACATGTGTAGACACTGAAATACCCATTTTTGCTTTCATAATAGCAGTATTTCAGTCAGGATGATGGAAAAGTTCTGAAAAAATAAATTTTACATTGCCATACCATACTTCCAGGTATGGCTGATGTTGGTACAACATAGATTATTTGAGTATCTCATTTATTGCAAGTACAGAATAAACATTGAGCAGGTAACAATATATAGCACAGCTGTGAAATGACATATTAAATGACAGCTGCTCAGTACAGTTTCCTAAGATATTTAAGGAGCTGGAAGATGGTCATCCAGGTGAGCTGAATGGTTTAGAAGGTGTTGAACAATGTTCCATTTGCTGATAATCAGCAGTGTCAGAGATAAGGAAGAGATCCATAAAACAGTCAAAGGGGGTTACATTATGAAGCCAAAAAATCTTGCACGAACTTTGCAAATTCCTAGTTGTCAAACATATGAATTAAATTTAGCTAGAGGTGTGTTTTTAAATTTGAATGTTCCAGGGAGAAACTTTGGGGATGAATAATAACAATGATTAAAAAAGGGAAAGAGCATAATATCACCATAAAGGAGCTACAAGGATGTGCTTGTTTATTAAAGTTTTAGCTGTGAAAGAAAAAAGTTAAGCTGGTAAAATTTGTCAATCAAATTAAATATTGGGAAAATTTAGCTCTAAAGATGAGACTAGAATTAGTTAAACTCTTATCTGAGCAATATTTTCAAAAATGCAATTCCACAAACAGTAGATATTTTAAAGTTGTCATTAAATTAATCGTGAATGCATTTCTGCTGTGTTGTATAAGATAATCTGCAAGCATGATTAAAGCATCATTTGCGTCTTATTCTTAACTCTACTTGTGGGCTACTGTATTAACCTTCCTGTGGTGTTAGGGTCCCTACGGACCCGTTTTGAGTTTTAGCATGCATAAAAGTACTTCATACATTTGTTTTCTGCGTTGAAACTTTTTGACTTTGTCAAGGACTTCCATTTAAACAAAGTAAAATCAAATTTTATTTTTTTACTGAATTATAAAGTGCTCTGGTGAAAAAACTGACTTTTGTGGTGTTTGGGTCATTTGTGACCCGGTTAAAATTTTTGATCTTAAAACAATAAAAAATGTCTAAAATGTAATCATGAACACACAATCAACCAACAGCCTCTTCTTCCAACCACTTGAGCTTCATTTAGGGCCTTTTATCTTTGCCTTTTTGCGAGAACAAACAAAGGGAGACATGTCCAGGCTTGTCAAGCCATTTGAGTGTAGAAGTGGTGACTTGAAGAGTACACATCACCAATTCACAGGATGCAACAATAAGGAGAAGATTCACTGTAAATAAAGCTTTGGATCACATCTTTGCTGCAAATGAGGCAGAGGACACACAGGGTTTTAGCGATGGAGATGAGCAGGCCTCTGAGAACGGGCAACAATGTCGCTTTGGACCTTGCAGATGATCTCAAGAGTCCTCAGATTTGACAATCGATACACCAGAGCAAAATCTGACAAGCTTGCTCCCATCAGGGATGTTTGGGAGAGATGGGTGCAACTCCTTCCACTGATGTTCAACCCAGGGCCAGAGGTGACAGTGGATGAACGTTTTCTCCCTTTTCGAGGAAAATGCCCGTTCCGGCAATACATGCCCAGCAAGCCAGGCAAATATGGCATAAAAATCTGGGCAGCCTGTGATGCTAAAACAAGCTATGCGTGGAACCTACAGATTTACACAGGAAAATCTGCAAGCGGCATCCTTGAAAAAAACCAAGGAAAACGGGTAGTCCTCGATTTGACTACTGGACTGCAGGGTCACAACATCACTTGTGACAATTTTTTTACATGCTATGACCTTGGACAAGAACTTCTCAGGAGGAAACTCACCATGGTGGGCACCATAAAAAAAAAATAAACCTGAGCTGCCCGCTGAAATGTGGCTGGTGAAGGACAGGAGGAGTGGACAATCTGGACAAGCTGACTGCCACCTACACTTGCCAGCGAATGACCAGGAGATGGCCAATGGTTGTGTTTTACAACATCCTCAATGTGTCTGCATACAATGCATTTGTGTTGTGGACCCATATTCACCAAGGGTGGAATTCAACCCAAAACACTAAGCGGAGAATGTTTCTTGAGGAGCTCAGGAATTCCCTTGTCAAGCCGCACATTGAGCAACGGGAACGGGTGCCCCGAGACCCAGCTACTGCAGACTTGGTCAGACAGCTGCAGTGGTCACCAAACACACCATCCACATCCACAGCAACAAGAAGAGTATCAGCATCAACTTCCCCCTCTGCAGCCAGCCCTGCCTGAAGCACTCCATCCACAGCCACAATGCCAGTGAGACCACCTCGCTCAAAAAGAAAGAGGTGTCAGGTCTGCCCTAGCAATATGGACAGAAAAACCTACACAGTGTGCTTCACCTGCAACAAATATATCTGCAAACAACACACTAAAAGTGTAAATATACACAAATATAAAAATTGTATTCAAGTTCTATTGAAAAAAGACTTGTTTTTACCCTTTTCTTGAAGTAAATATATACGGGTCCAAAATGACCCAAAACACCATAGATGTTACTATATTTGATAATATTAAAAATTAAATCTTTTTTTTTGTTGAACATTTATGAAATGTGTTTTAATATCTCTCAGTTGCACTCAGGTAACAAAACAACTGATTATTTTGTTGCCTTCTTCTCTTAAGGTTCATTTGACCACTTTTTAGACATTGAAAACGAGGGGTATGCTGCTAAAACAAAGGCCCAGGGGGCCACAAAAAATATTAAAACCAATCTTTTCATAGATAAGGGAGCCCAATCAGCTAAACAAGAGTTAAGAAAAACATTGGATGATAAAAGATTGTTTTTAGGGTATTTTATGGCTGATTTAATACTCGGGTCCAAAATGACCCGCTAACACTACAGATGGCAGCAGAAAGCTAACACAAGAGGAAGGTTAAAAAAAATGGTAAGGATTATTCGGGTTGATGCCAACAACTGTTGGGAATTTCTCATCAATATATTTAGAATAGAAAAATGTTGTGTTTAGTACCTATTATCTCTATACTCTATTGTGTTTTGGTGTCTTATCCTGTGATGTTTAATCTCTTACACACATTTCCAATGAAGATCATGACAATTTGGTTTAAGAATACAGTTGAATTTTAGCTGCTTTTTAAAAGTTCAACAACTCTAACCTCCCTATTTGACCTTTTGTGAGCAGAAAGCTTGATTATGGGTTTAGGTACTAATGGAGGGCTTCATTTTAGAGCTAAAGAGGAAAAAGTGACAACACTATGCTGTTCCAAGCTGCAACACTTTGTAGCTTAGACTATAAGTTAAGGGAATTTTCCTAAATAACCTCTCAAACCACATCTGTGCAAATCAATTTGCATTTCATTTCCCGCTTCTTCTTTCTGCTCATTTGATGTTGGTTTTAAAGAAAGAGAAGATGCGCAGTAGGACTGAGTGGGACGGAGCAGACACAGAAGCAAGGATAGATGGATGACTGGAAAGGAGATTGTTGAGGAGAGGAATAGAAATGTCCTGAATGCTACTGCAGCAGGGTGTGCTGACGTGAGGAGTGTTCCCAAACACAGTTAGTAGTGACTGCGGACCAACTGCATTACCATACTCACACACACACACCCACACACACGCACACGCAGCGCCTAAGGGAGGGAGCTGCTTGCAGCTATATAGAATGGGGACAGACTCTCCTGGTCTGCTCCTGAAGAGGTCACTGTGTTCCTCAGCATCATTTGTGTATGCGTGCATGTGAGATGGAGTGTGCAAGCAAGTGGAAAAATCCCTATTTTGACAGTAGTAATGATTTAACCATGCTCTACAGGTGTGCGTGAAGCCGTGCTTTTTACTCACTAATGTTCTTCTAAAGGGTCTCTCCCCCATTTCCCCTTTTCTTTCTTTTTTCAACCCCAGTCCAGCAGAGCTAGGTGCATATCATTGGATCAGTAGCTGCTGCCTGCCACACTGTCCAATCGCATCTAGGAAGAGAAAATAGAGAAAGAAAGAGAGGCAGTGAGAGGGAGATGGGGGAGGAGAAAGAAAGAGAGGAAGGTAGAGGGGGGGAGAGAGAGAGGAAGATTGATCATTTGGACGTCCTGGGCCCTGTGTTCAAGGAAGAAATACCTACATTCCAACTATCTGTGCTTTTGTTTCGTCGCTTTCACGTTTCACCGGACTGAGAGAGCCTGGAGGGCTGTTTTTTTCTTTTTCTTCCTTTTTCCCTTTCTTTTTTATATGGGTTATATCTATCCAAGAGACGTGCCACCACTACATCTACCAGCAGAAGCAGCAGGAGCAGCAGCGGTGTTGGAATATCTCTCCATATCCCATCCCGGGCACGTCGGATCAACCGCAGCAGCAAAAAACACGAGGCGATCATTGCGGTGAACAGAAGAGAACATGCACCGCGGGATTTCAGTCCGTTCAGCCCAGATGGGTACGGTGCATCTGTCATTTTCAGACTGTTTTTTTTTTTACTTACTGCAGCGGGGATTCAGATTTCGGTTTTTGCATTTTTTGGTGTGTGTGTGTCTGTGTGAAGGAAAGAAAGGGACGAGTGTGTGTTTTTGCCGTAGCTTCTTGCCGATAGAGATGCAGATGGGATATTCTGCCTGATTAGCAAACATTTCTACCCACCTCAACATCTTTCTTGTTGCATGCTGTTTTTATAAGTTGTTTCCATATGAACATTTACTCAGAGGGGAGGGTGGCAGGCGGTGGGTCTGCCTTGATAAATGGAGCGTTATTCATCAGCGTTGTGTGTGATCACCACTGGAATGTTAACTAGCACCTTGGACAGCACCAACACGACCCAGGAAGAGAGGAGATACTGATGATCGAAGCTATACTCTGACGCGGCTGCAGGTTATAGTTTCAAAGGAAGTGTCAGAGTGTGTAGGTTGGGGTGCAGAGGTGTGTGTGTGGATGTGTTAATATTCTTTCTTCAGGCCCTCAGAAAGAGCCGCCTGGGAAGCAGCTGTGTGTGTGTGTGTTTGAGATACAGAGTGAGAAAGAAAAGTGTGTGATCAGAGTGACCAAGACTACAGGCTGAATCCCATTTCCTGAGGTTTTCCCTACCAGACCCCCCCCCACCACCCATCAGTGGGCCCTCGGGACCTGGTTGTAATAAAATACTCTTTCTCTAAGATGCTGATGCATCATCTTATTTTCAAACCTACAAGAACATCTGAAAAAATAGTCATTAAAAAGCTATTCTGATTCAATTTAGAACGTGGCACACATGAATTATATTGAATTAATTACAATAATAAAAGTAAAGCATTTCTTTCTGTTCATTTGGATCATTGTGTCCTAACTGTGAAAACTATGCATTTTGTTTTCTTTTCAAGAAACTTGAATACTGATTATGTTTAATTTTAATTCAAACATCATCATTAGATACATAATTATTACAGGTAACCCCGTGTAGTTCAGCGGCATCTGTTGTCTCCCCCTATGAGAAATAAAGTATCAGTAAAGAAGTTGAATGGTCACACAATGCCATATCCAAGAGCATAAATGGAAAGTATAGTGGAGGAAAAAAATATACACAATGCTTGAGAAAAACTGCAGTCTTTAGATATGAGTAAAGCAAAGTTTACTTTGCATTTGAAAGAGATTTACAGAGCAAGTTCTCAGCACTCACTTATCCAGGACATGGGATTAAATGGTCTCATTCCTTTAGTAAGGCTACTTCTGAAGCCAGAGCCATAAAATTCTAACCCAATGGAGAAAAAGATTGGATGATTGCTCAGAGTAAATGTTTTGTTTTTAAATGAAATGCACATTGTATTTCAAGGTCCTTCATTCTAAAAAATGATGTTAAGATTCCATGGTCAAAACAGAAATACCAAGCCAAAATACATCAATCTTTGTGCAATTAATCTATAATCATAGGAGTGTCATTTCAAAGGGATGCTTTTTTTCTCAGGCACATCTATAAGCATAACATTAACATAAGCATAACATTAATGTGCCTGTTTACATCAACATCTATATTTTTCATGCTTGTGGAAAAATGTACTGTGCTTGTATTGCATGTGTTTTGTTATATTCAATATTTATAGATTTTTGTTAGGAAATGTATTGCCAACAGCAGTTCTAACCAACATACTAGATTTTTTAAAAGTACAAAATCATAGACTTTAACACATCTTGAAATATAGTGGTTAGTTTAGATGACCTGAGGATATAAATGTTTCTAAATATAGTGTACAAATGTTGGTACTAGAATACCATTATCTTCAGACATTGTTTACGGGAAAGATAACGATTATATGAATTAACAAGCAATAATATACATCAAGTTCAAAGATCTAGTTTTTACATTTTAAATTAATAAATTTTTTTATCTCTGTCATTTTAAATAACACAATTTGTCCCTTCATATATGAAAATGACTAAATATTCAAATTTGTGAGAATTTATTTAGTATTTATACCATTCTTTGTTGTAAGCTTGTCCCATAAAAATCCCAATTGTTATGGGCTGTAAAGGTAATTCCCTTAGTCTTCCCCATACTCAGCAGAAACAACTAGGAAACAAAGGGTTAAAGCCTTAGAATGACAGGCAACAGGATGGAATTGGATTTAGCTTATTGTGAGTGAGGTGAAGAAAGAATGAAGGTATGTGTGGAGAAGAAACAAGTGTGTAAGAGTCACATGTGTCCAGCCTTATGCTACATGCAGGTCAGGAGCCCCATGGTGCATTCAGGATTTAATTAAGCGTGTGACATGACACCCACCCTGACACACACACATGCATACACCAACGCCCTCCCCCAACTAGGTCCTGTGATCTGTGAAACTGTCTGTAGTGAGGATATGACACAGCAGCAGCCCTGACAGCCTGACACCAAGTTAAGCTGAGCGGACAACATCTCGTTTGGCCCATCTATCACTTTCATATCTATTTTTAAAAGTAAACTGCAAGCAAAGTAGCTCAGCATATACCTGATAATGTGCGTGATTATTCCACTGAAGACTCATTAAATTCCTTTTTCATTTCTATTTCTCTCCCTCTCCTCTCTTGCTTCCAGGAGACAATACAGGCTTGTTATGGGGGTGACCAGAAGGAGATAGTGACAGAGGAACAGTGATGCCACTGTTTACATAACGACACACTCACACACATGCATCTAAACACGTATATACCCACAGGCACACATGCAGGCTCAGATTGCCAGTCCAGGACACACACTCACTTAAACTCTTCAGCACATACATACGTATGCTCACACAGAGTAGTGACTGAGTCACTGCACACAAAGAGGCAAAGACTCACTGACTCACACACATACGAAAAGGGAAAAGATTGCTTTTAAGAGACAGAACTGTGTGCAGTGTGTGTTATGGGCCAAGGTGAGCAGCAGCTGCGAGTTAGAGCTGGATACCTGTAAGGGATCAGCAGAGACATAACCCTCAACCTGCCTCCACTACCTTACCCTCCTCCTCCCCCTAGTTTCCCATCTTAACAAACCGCCATGTCTGAACTGAGGACCAGCAGAACTCTTCCTCCCTCCCACTCATCCCACATTGGATTTTCATCTCTCCTCCTCTCCCTTTGCCTCTCCCTTTGCCTTCAGCCGACCTCATTGTCGGCTGAGCAGACTGTGCCTGTCATTTCAACGGCGCACGGCCGTATTCGTGGCATTCTGACCCCTCTGCCCTCTGACCTTCTGGGGCCTGTCATCCAGTACCTGGGAGTACCGTACGCCAGGCCACCAACTGGGGATCGGCGGTTCCAGGCGCCTGAGCCGCCTCTGCCATGGCCAGGAATACGGAATGTGACACAGTTTGCTCCAGTGTGCCCGCAGTCTGTGGATGAGAGGAGCATGCTGGCAGATATGATGCCATCCTGGCTCACTGCAAGCATGGATATAGCAGCAACTTACCTTACTCACCAGAGTGAGGATTGCCTCTACCTCAACATCTATGTACCCACGGAGGAAGGTGAGTGAACTTGGCAATGTGCACTAAGTTTAGAGGGCTGAGATGGTTAAATATGCATGTGGGGTTAAGCTTGGGATTACATGTTATGGTTCATGCCCTAAAGTGAATTCATGGGTAAGGGCAATGATACCATTGGCTGTGTCAAATTATTAAAACATGACAGCGAGCTGTTTCTGCTCACACTCAGGCTTGCAGAATAAATAAATAAAGATTTTTAAAAATGCGCTTTGTTTTCTCTTCCCCTTTTACATGCCGCTGGTTGAACTGACGCTTAATATGCAGACACCTGCGTCAGTCGCTAAGGGGTTTACGGATTTACTTGTAGAGGAAAATGGGAAGGACACAGGCTTACTCATGCATACATATTGGTTAATACACATGCATGCGGATCTTTGCACATACACACACATATCAAGGACTGCTCCCTCTGGCATTTGGCGGTTAACTAATGTCACCTTGATGATTTGAACACATTGGTAATCTGTCTGTCTATCTCAGACATCCATGAGGAGGGGGGGCAGCGGCCAGTGATGGTCTATGTCCATGGAGGCTCGTATTCCGAAGGCACTGGGAACATGATGGATGGCAGTGTGCTTGCAAGCTATGGCAATGTCATTGTCATAACCCTCAACTATCGCCTGGGAGTTTTAGGTAAAGAATCAGTTATCTTAGTCATCTGTATAACAATTTGCTGTTATTGGAGAGCAGGTTGCACTGTTTGAGTATATTGTCTTGTTTGCTCTTTTTCCAAAGTAAAACTTGAACTCACATTATATGACATTTATCTATTTCATGTATTTCATTCAGTGTTGCCAGTTATAATCAAATGATTAAACATGTTTTTCTATACATTGTTAATGATTTGTAAATGTTTGACATGCATGAAACATTTCATGAAAGCTCTAAGTGTCTTTCCTGATACATTTAACATGTTGCTGCTGTTAAGTATGTTTGGAAGCCCACAGTGGTAGAGAACAGAAAACAGAGTTCCTTCTTGTGTTTATACTGCTTGAAGATATCAGCTTGGATTATTTATTTTTTAGTAATCACATTGCTTTTGGAATTTTCAGGCTATTCATAAGTTATAAACTGCAAAACAGGAATAGGCTAGTTCAGTCCAGGTTTAAGGGTTTTATTAAGTATTAAAAAGGATCTTTCTGGTTATTTCGAGGTTAGTTTCAATGGCTCCTTTGTCAGAAAGGACAAGTGGGCCGAAAAAGCTAGATTCTCTCTCATCATTTGCCCTTACTCCTTAGCTGTACCACTTTAATTTGCTCTTTCTTGCCAAGGTCTCTGGGTTTCTCATTCCTTTTTGTAATTTTGAGGGTTTGCAGAGATTTAGCTCTACTTTGTTCTTCAAACAGATATTTCCTTAAAAAGCCAGGTATTACCTGCATAAGGAAATACTCTTGCAAATATTTTCTTACATTTTATCTACTGAGCATCTGGTTTGCATTTGTATGAAGATGTGTAAAAGTCGGTATATCTTTTCCCTGTTTCATCTTTCTATGCATCTCAAAATTTAGTGTAAATAATTTGATTTCCAGTCAAGTGAAGCTGAAACATAATTTTTGGACATTTATAACATTATGTGTATGAATGTATTGCACATACATGGCCCTGATGTGCACACATTGCAGCAGTGATTTCATTAAAGATATTACCTAATCTAATGCTATGATGTGTAGATTTTCTGTCTGCACTGCTGAGGATCCCTTAACTCAGCATGAAAAATGTATGTAGTGGAGACACTCTAGGGCACTAATAGTTTATATATTGTCAAACTATCATCCCCATGCAATTTTTTTGAAAAAGAAAAAAGGCCAATTTAAAATTAAGTTTAATTAAAATTTATAACCTTCTACATTTTTATGCTATAGCACGCAGTCATTTTTTTCATTTTCCATTTTCACTGTCCATTGCCACAAGAGTCTAAACTCTGATTTTATTGTTTAGCCCTGCAAAGGTGCTCTTAATGGTCGACTTTGTTTACTCAGAGCAGAATAATTGTAGTACATGTAATGGAGTTATCTGTATGACATTTATTCCAATATTTCGTGAGAATCTTTATAGAATCTTGAATTTACTTGACTTTACAGCTATTTCGAAGCTGCAGCTGTCCCTGTTGTTATTACAGCTCTTTCTACCACAGTGTTTTTCTTTCACTAGACAGTCCATTAATAAGATTGAATAGATTTTTATTGGTTTTATCTAATAATATGTCTTCTGGGAAGCAATCTTGCAAACCACAATAAATAAACGTAACAGAATAAACACTCTAAATATACCCTTCAGCATTCAAATTTTTTTTATGAGTTTTACTTTTTAGAATTAAAAATTGAATAAAATTGCACTTTTATTTAAGGTTATATGTACCTTTTATAAAGCTGTAACAACAGCTGAAATGTAGTGGAGAATTCATACTATTTTTACCATCTGGGTTATTTAATCCTTCAATGAGCTATAAAAATGTTAAAACCATCAGTGATTTTTATTTTTATTTTTTACCCCGAGCATCGTTCCTCTCCCTCTATTTCTTTTATTTGAATGAAAACATGTTCAGTGTCCCTTGTGGAAGCACAACCTCCCTGAAGCCATTTTTTCCCCTCCACTACTGTCATCGACTTGAATCTGATCCTTTTTAACTCCATGGCTCTTCTACTCGTTGCTCTGTGAACAAGCAGAAAAAAAAAATTCCCTTTGGTTTTCTAATTTTACTCGAGCTTAGAAATCCAAGAAGCTGAACAAATAGATCTTTAAATCAATTTAGGCTCTTTGTGGCTGCAGTTATCAAAATGACATGGCTTTAGAGGGGGCACATAAAGGTTAAAACATTTAATGGCATAAAGCATCATTTACTTAGCTGTACTAAGAGCGAGAGTATTGAGTTGTTTATGTGAGCGGAGTATCTATGGGCTTTTTCTACTAAGTGCACAAGATGCATATTTAATTCTATGGGTGATATTGATATTTTTTTTATAAAAACAATAATAGTTATATATGAAATAGGCCTTGTTTCATTTTTCCCCACTTAAATGATAAAAGCACAAAAGTAAAAATAATTTTGTTGCATGAAGGCATGAAAGGATTGGGTAAGAGGTTCTGATCTTGGAAGGAAAGCCACATGTTTGGCTCAGCTTTAATTAAAGAAATTATATTTTTTTTATTAGATCAGAGTGATGCAGATGGGAAATGGAGAGAAAGGCAGGCCATCCAGCAGGTCTAGAATCAGTCTTGGGATTTGCTGCTTACAGGCATTCATGCCTATGTGCCATGCACTCTTACAGCTTAACAATGAGGTCACCGCAGGCAGAACATGTTTTGTTGAAACCCAGACTGAGCCAATTTTAAAATGTTTAAATGTCTTTAAACATTGAATCGCAAGGCTTTTATTAAATGCAGGCTTTTTTTCTACCTCTCCAGACTGTTGTAGATTTTAATTCTGACCTTGTGGAAAATTGGTGCCTCAAATGTGATCGACCTTATTAGCTGAATATTGAGCAAGTCTAGATGCTTAAATTTGGCTTCATTTTGTCTTCACCCCCCCCCCCCCCATTTGTGTGTTTATGACACCTCCACCAATACAATCTTCAACATGATCATCACCATCATCATCCTCATTTCAAGTAGAAACATCACCTTCCTCCTCCCGCTGTTCTCCATCATCATGAGTGGATGCATGAGGTGAGCTCATTTACACGATGCAATACTCTGTAACACCATTAATTTTTTGCTTATTCTGCAGTATTCTCTCAGGAATGAAGCGTGGCTCTGTGAAACTGTGAACTACTTGAACAGCTTTACTTAAATATTGCTTGAATGCATATAATCCTGTAAACACTGAGAATGAATACAACCCTGATATTTTCCTTTTTGCTCCAATGAAATCGCTGACAAAATGCACATAAGTGAAGTAATACACTACTTCAGCCTTTCCTTCATGGTTATTATACCCTTTTTGTGCCGGGGGTTCATAGAAATGAGCTTCTGCAGTAATGAGATATACTGTGGCAAAATGAGCCATTAGGATCTTCTATGTTTACTTAATAATGTCAGTAGAAAAGGGAATAAGGGATGGGTGTGGGTTTAAAGGCAGGCATGTGTGGTTTTCTGCTTGTGTGATTTCCAAGGACTGTGAATGCACTGTTGTGGTTTGATCCAGTCTGAGATAAAGTAGGAACACCACTGCTTTTTTTTTTTACGTTTCCTTTTTAAAACTATGATAAAAAACACTGCCTTAAAAAAGTGGCTATACTCTATGAAATGTCCCAGTTTTGTCACAGCACAACTACAGGCTTCATTGGGCTTTATAGGCACATTAACATATAATTTATAGTTTTTATAGAAAGGTGACGGTTGCATCGTTTCACAAATGTTTTACAAAAACAGCCTGACAAGTTTCCAATACAGTACATTTGTAATTAGCCTTTTTTACACCAGTACTTCCAAATAAAACCTAATTCCCCTGCAATATTTGCCCCTGTGAACTTGGGTTCCTCAAAGTATTGACCGAGAATGACTAAGAGGGACTAATATCGTTAAAAACATTATATATTCTTGATGACATATGCTATGTTCAAATGCATTTGAGTTTTGAACGATTTTTTATCTTTTATTTTTTGAAAGGGATAAGTAGCAGTACCTTGAAGGATAGCAGTTTAAAAAATACAAATAGATGCTTCTATCAAAACGTGTTTATATATTTTTTAGATTATGGTAAATGGCATGTACTTATATAGCGCCTTTATTCAAGTTAGGAGACTTGACCAAAGCTCTTTACACTACATTCATTCACCCACACACTGATGATGGTGAGCTACATTGTAGCCACAGCTGCCCTGGGGCTCACTGACAGAAGCGGGACTGCCGTACACTGTCGCCACCGGGCCCTCTGACCACCATCAGTAGACAATGCAGGTGAAGTGTCTTGCCCAAAGACACAACGACACTGAAAGTCGGAGTCGGGGCTTGAACCGTCAACCCTTCGATTTTAGGGCAAACTCCTACATCCAACGCCACTGTTGCCCCAGAGATTATCCAAACTAATGGTCTTCAACTCACTGGCAAATGGTCCACAGAAATTCTATGTTGATACCTTCTTAAAGGTGCCGTGCTGCATGGAGTTTGCATGTTTGAGTTCTTTTTGGTTTCTCTAGCTTTCTTCCACAGTCCAAAACAAGACTGGTAGTTTGATTGGCGTCTTTAAATTGCCCATAGGTGTGAGTGTGTGTTCATGATGATCTGTCCCTGTGTTACCCCACAATGGAATTGCAACCTGTGAAGGTTGTAGCTTGCATTTTGCCAAAATGCTGCAGTAGATGAGAACCAGTCTACTGTGATAAGCAGTATTGCTAAGGGATGGATGTTTTACAGTGTTTTAATATGACTTTCTGTTATTTCTGCATTCTTGTAGGGTTTCTTAGCACAGGAGACCAGGCAGCAAAAGGAAACTATGGCTTGCTCGACCAGATTCAGGCTCTGCGCTGGGTGAAGGAGAACATTGCAGCCTTTGGTGGAGATCCAAGTAGGGTCACTGTGTTTGGATCTGGTGCTGGTGCATCTTGTGTTAGCCTCCTTACTTTGTCCCACTACTCTGAAGGTAAAAATATAAAAAATAAGATACAATTTGGGGAAAAGAGTAAGCATGTTGATGAGAGTGTTCTGAGACATCACACATTTAGGGATAAAGTGCATTTTATATTTGTTGGCATGACTGTAAATAAATGCAAAAAGCCCTAAAGGCTGTGTGTTAAGGCTTTCATAAGAAATACAAATCTTTTCTTTTACTCTGCTTTTTACATAAACTTTTTGTTTATGCTAAAGGTGCTGTCGCTACCCGATCCGTACCGGAAGCACGATCCGTACCATCAGCTCATTTGCGCGTGCGCAAACAGAATAACTTCCGGTGGCAATATTTCCTTTTTCTTACTTTTTTATTCTTTTGTATTTTTTAGAGGCATGGGTTTCTTTTTGTATATCTTTGTATTTTCGTCAATATTGCATTTTCTAAAAATAAAAAAACAGAAATACATAAAAAAGTTAAATCGCCTTGTGATAGTTACTTTGACTGCTCTGAGCATGCGCAAATATACGTCACACAGCGTATATATTTACATTTGTTTAAATATTTGATTTACTCTGTACTTAACTATGCACTCCAGCAGTACTGATCCCACAATGGATTCATTTGCTACCTTTCGTGACCTGCAGTTTTTCATTGATAAGGGAACATTTCCCAAAAATTTTGATTTTTATTCCAGAAAAATTACGTCAAGCAATACAATGGATTGAATTTAAAAAGCATCCATTTCTTCCAGAAAAGTCTTCAATATTATCTTTACGATGTAGTTTAGTATTCTTTAATTATTTAAGGATATAAATAAAGTTTTTTCAGTACCGTAATTACTTTATTTTTTGGCGACCCGGAAGTTATTCTGTTCGCGCAGGCGCAAATGAGCTGATGGTACGGATTGTGCTACCGGTACGGATCGGGTAGCGACAGGTGCACCACCAGTGTTTGGTTCAGTTTAATTTTTAATTTCAATGTAATGCCTTTTTCCTGTTCCTATTTTTTCACTCTATTTGACATTTTAACTATAAGTTATATGTAATTCTGTTTTGTCCTTCTTTTTTATTACGTTCAATTTAGTATGTTCAGAAGTTTAATACTTTACAAATATATTTTTTAGTTCACCTAATTTAACATGATTTCCTATGGTTGTTTGCATGTTTGTCATTTTAAATCTGCAAAGGACAGCATGTTGCATTTAATTGTATGATAAATGTTCATTATACTAAAAGGCTACCTGAAGAATAACTAACTTAAATGTAGTTTGTTATTTAAAACTCTTTTAAACTGCTCTTGGGAAACTGTTCAATGTGTATAGCAACGAGACAAACTGGTCCTTCTCCAGCCTTTGTCACTTTTCCTGGAAACAGTTATTTAGGCATAACCATGTTATTTTTCACTGTTTAACATTAAATTAATCTAAATATTTCCATTTTTCTGTCAGCTAATGTATCACCATTATTCCTGCTTGCTGTATAATAGAGTAATAGAACAGAGTTGGAATTTTTTAAGATTGGGTGAGTGGTGGCCTTGTGGTTAGGGCATAGGGCTTGGAATCCTGAGGTTGTGAGTTCAAAACTCACTCCCACAGACTGCCACTCTGTCTCCCTGAGCAAAGACCTTTAACCGTACACTGCTTCCCGGGCTGCCACAAATGGCAGCTAATTGCTCTCCATGGAGATTTTATTTTTTGTTGTGCCATGGAGATTTTGTTGCGCTGTACTTGTGACAGTGTAATGGCAATACAACCCTGGAAAAGAAAAATAAGATTTTTTAAATTCTTACTGAAACATCAGTTTTGAAAGGCCTAACTTCATGGCTGATATTTTAAGATGCTGATTTTGATCTAGCACAATATGAATGCCGGATAGAGTAGTGCATTTTAAGGCTGTATACTGCTCTCTAAAAATGGTGCCAATAGGTATGTAAATATTGCATGATGTTTTAAGTCTTCTTTTAACCCGAAATAGACTTAGATTAAATTTAAAAAGGCTTAAAAAATATTTTATCTTTGCTATTCTTAATATTAAAAATTTATTTGGTTATATGTCTTTTGTTTATGCATGCACAAAACTTATATGCGCTTTTTTGTGTTAGATCTTTTCCACAGAGCCATTATCCAGAGTGGCAGTGCTTTAGCTAGTTGGGCTGTCAACTACCAACCAAGCAAATATGCCCGGCAGCTCGGCGAGAGGGTCGGCTGTGGCATTGATGACAGCACTCAACTGGTCACTTGCCTCCAGGGCCGGAGTTACCGTGAACTGGTGGAGCATAATGTCTCTCCGGCCAAATATCACACTGCTTTTGCCCCGGTGATTGATGGCGACGTTATACCTGACGACCCTCAGATTCTGATGGAGCAGGGAGAGTTTTTGAACTATGATGTGATGCTCGGGGTCAACCAAGGGGAAGGTGTGAAGTTTGTGGAGGGAATCGTGGACTCTGAGGATGGTGTCACAGCTGAGGACTTTGACTTTGCCGTGTCAGACTTTGTGGATAGTCTGTATGGCTACCCAGAAGGCCGAGATACACTAAGAGAGAGCATACGGTGAGTGAGAAAGTGAAAAAACTATGCATGCTTTAACAGTCATATGACATTATGTGATGTATGATTTGTCATCCTTCTCGCTTGGAATAACCAAAGTCGATAAAAAATAGGAAAAAAGGGATTAAGGTTACAAATCAGATGGACATTATGTAGATTTACCTCACAGTGATGAACATTTAATTAGTGGAATGACACTGCAGAAGAACTTAACTGTCCAATAAGCAAAGATAGTAACAACACATATTTGTAGAAACAGAAGATAAGAGCTAAAACTTAATCTCTAATCGGTGCCCTTTATGTTCATAGAATCCTGCATTAGCTTCGCTATACAGCTTTGTTATGTAGAATATAGGAAAAGAACCAGTGATTTAAACTTCACATTATTTTTTATGATATATTTATTTATTTTATCATGTTTTTTTAAAACTGAAAATTAAGATTTATTTCTACTGATGCTAAGCATATTTTAACATATTTATTACTGCAGTTAAGAGTACTTATGATGGTTATAGTACCAGTAAGATACTAAGCATTATATGGACGTATGAAAAAATTAAACTCTCAAATGGCTACTGTCCTAAGAATTTATCAGGTGTGGCTTTTTTCTCTTTAAACAGTAGCACCCAGTGCAGCGGTAAAACAAGTTGTAATTTAAAGGCTTTGTCAATTAAAGCTAACCTGCCAATTAAAATGTTGAAATACTCAAAATAACAAAAATGAAAATGGTGAAAGAATAACTATCCTATAGAGTAAATAAATTATTTAAAAAAGCTTTTACAAGAGATAAAAACAGTTCTGGAAAAGTCCTAAAGAGTCTTCAACTATTATAGATACAGTTTTTTTGTGTTTTTCTGGTCTTCTGATGTTTACCACTTCTAATAATTAGTAGGCTAGTATAAGTGTCAAAAAGCTGGTGGAATTCAACCACCAGACAAAATGTAGTAAATCTTATCTGTCATAAGCATCTTTAAACAGCTATTAGCCTGAACAGAGTGGTTAAAATTACTAAAAATAAACAGCAATCCATGTGTATTTATAATGGAATATTATCTATCTCTAAGATTTTCTAAAAAGAACAAAATACCAACATTTTTAAACCTAGCAGACTGAAAACGACAAATTCTTAATTCTACTGCAACACTTACAACAGTTATCGATTAAGCCTCACAATCTCTTTATAAATAATAGAAAATGCAGTTTCCTACTATGTAATTTATTATACCTATTTAAACTTTCCCGTACTTAGCATCTAACACATGATTAGAAAATATCTATTTTTGAAGTAACAATTTCCACATTTTTCTTTTTCTATACACAAGATGGTAACTCCTAAGAAGGGTGCATTCACTGATCAGAAAAATGCAGGACTTTTGAGGTTTCAGCTTTGTATAGTTGATGATCTTTTACCAAAGTCATAAAAAATGCATTTTTATGTTCACAAATAAGCAAAATATGAATTTATTGTTTCAGTTTTAAAGCATAATTGCAAAAGTCAGACTTAAAATAATAACAGTTGCATTGCAATCTCATCCCTGCATGCCTATGCAGTTCTACTATGGAGAAAAACACACTTCTATACCAGCAGGTATCAATGGCCATTAGATAAAAGTAATAAACTATTACATTAAATAAAAATACAATCTCAGAAATGATAAACATGGCAGATTAGACTGGTATCTCTCACTATTACAACCCCAGATACATTGTTCACAAAGTAACTGTAGCCCATAAGAATCCATAATTTGCTGTGCATAAAAAGCTCTGTGTTGCCAAGTAACAAAGTGATTGCTGCACTTCTTTCTGGACAGTAACATCCATTAGTCAATTTGTTGTACTTATTGGTCTGATCATCGTTCTGCTCTCAACTCCTCTGTACTTCTCTCCTTCCTGCAGTAAAACTGCCCTCTAAAGATTTCAGATACTCAGCTATATAATGTCAAAGTAGACATGGACGATTAATGAATTTAGCATTTAACGTGATCTGGCAAGCACTTGTTGGTTATTGTTTGCTTGTACACACATTGGGTGTGTTTGGTGGAGATCATTTAACTTGATCTGTCAATATGTTTTTTGTTGCCTTCTTTCCTTGTTTCAGAAATAACAGCCAAGCTTTTCTTTTTGCAAGGACCATCTTGTACTGTAGATGCCATTCGTTTTTTTTTTCTTTACAATGTTTGGCCATAAAATGCTGTTAGAAACTGTTATGCCAGCACCACTATTACTACTCAGCTTATGCAATTATTTCCTAGCTAAAACTTAACTAACTAAACTTAAAACTTAGTTAATTAACTCACCTTGCAGAAACTTTTAAGCACAAATTACTCTGCATATTTAGTTTAGTAAAGTAATTTCTAATGTGTTTTGTTAAGGTTCATGTACACTGACTGGGCTGATCGCGACAACGCAGAAACTCGTCGGAAAACACTGGTAGCACTTTTTACCGACCACCAGTGGGTGGCGCCAGCCATTGCTACAGCTGATCTCCATGCTCAGTATGGATCTCCAACCTATTTCTACTCGTTTTACCACCACTGCCAGAGTGATGCCACCCCACCTTGGGCTGATTCTGCCCATGGTGATGAGGTAAGATTGCTACTGTTTTTATATTATAATGATAATATGCATATACAGCCTAGAAGCATATAATAATATGGTTCTACAGGTAGGCTGATATTTTAGGCAAATGCTTTTAAAATATTGCTAAAGAATCTGGATTTTTTATACGGCTGGTACAATGTTTATTTACAATTACCATTTGCAGAGACTTTATTTCATTTTTATCCATCCATCCATTTTCCATGACGCTTTATCCCAGCCTGTGTCAAGAGGGGTGCTGCCGCCTCTCTAGCTGTCTACGGCTGAGAGGTGGGGTACATCCTGGAGGAATTCATTTTTTGTCTTGATACATATATTTATATTTTTTTTAAACAAAGCGGAGTGTGTATGACGTCATCCGTCATTTGTTTCGGCCCTGCTTATGTAATTCGGAGCCTGGTGGTCTTACTGTGGATGTTCTTCATCGGCCTGCCTGAGAGAAGAGACTGGAACGGTCTGTGTGCTGGGTATTGGCGAGTGGAACACCATCCCCCTGCATCTCAATGCGTAAAGGACAAGGTGGAGGGAAGGCTGCTCCCAACAGCCTTCTTTGCAGCCATAACCAGTCTCTACACAGGCACCTCCTCCGCAGCAGTGCAATTACCATGCCAAATGGTGATGTAGATAGAGAGAACGCATTTCACCACACAGAGCAGACGAATGTAAGAATATTGGCTGTCAAGGTGGCTGAGGGCTGCGTGGACCACTCATGAGATGCGTCAGTAGTGGATCGGTGCCTCCTCAAGGTGTACTGATTTGAGTCCACAGTGACATTGATGGAGTCTTTAGCCTCAATTACATTACCCGTTTGAACTCTGCCAGACATAACCGGACCACGCTAAATCTAGTACTAGTTCAACAAGGAACCAAGCTTGGCACTGTTAACTGATCCAAGCTCGGTCCGAACTTGGCACGGATTGGTTTCAGAGGGGTAATGTAAATGGGGCATTTGATGTGGGTCATGGCTATCCCCTAAAAGCACTTCATGACTACCAATGTTAGGTTTATAGGTTGGTAGTCATTCAGGTCTGAAGCACTTAAGGACAGGGTAAATATTGGTGATCTTTAAGCAGGTATGGACAGATAGTGTAACAATTAGTTGTTGGAGATGTCTGCCACAACCTCAGACAGCTGTTGTGCACAGTCCACTAGTATCTGTCCTGGTATGCTGTTGGAGTATGCAGCCTTAAAATGGTTGATTTCCCTAGAGGTTCTTCTTCACGTCCGGTGTGGTCACATTGATGGCCATGTCACCAGACTGTGGTGATATAAGTATAGTGCTGTTGGGGTCCTTAGATGGAATATAGAATCTGTTAAGTGTATCTGGAAATGGGGGTTCCTTGGGCATTTTGTTGCATATTTGATGTGATGTGTTTGATGCAGTTAGTTTTTTCCTTGCCTTGGAGTGCTAATGCCTCACCTGTCCGGAGCACAGCATTCATTCCTTCCAGCAGAGCTCTGACCTTAGCATTAAGCCAGGGTTTCTTGTACAGATAATAAGCTACTGTTTTGATGGTGGTGACATTGTCAGCACATGTAGAGTTGAAGCTGAGAACGCAGGAGGTATATTCCTTTGGGTCCACTTCTCTCTCATATGTAGCTGCCTCTCTGAAAACTTTTCAGTCTGTGTACTGAAACAGTCCTTTAACAAAGCAGTGACTGTTTTCTTTCTTTTCAATATGCTGCCAACAGCAGGATGGAGATGTGGCCAGAGAGAGCAAGATGGGGTTAAGGAATTCTCTGTGTAAACTGTGAATGCTAGTGTAAAAAATCGTTGAAGGGTCTTCATCAGGTGCTACCAGTCTGTAGCTGCCGAGATCCTTCAGATGTTTTGTCTTTAGGAACGGTACTGCACAAATGGTTTTCCACAGTTGTGGTACTTCTTCCTGCCTTAGGCTCAAGTTGAACATATAGCACAAGTGCTAGTCAGTTCATCTGCACAACAGATCAGAAGCCTGGAGCTGATGCTATCAGGACCTGCAGCCTTTTGCACCTTGAAAACTTTTTGAACGATAACCTGAATCTAACTGTACTAATGTCTAATAACTAGGAATAAATTGAAGAGACAGCAGCTTTGATCATCAACGCTTTTACAGGAAACAGTTGGAAATCTGCAAAAAGTCAGTTCACTCTGATTCCAAGCTTAAATAAGCTTCCTTTTCAAAGGAATGATAAAGTGGTGCAGCTACGCCTGTAAGGTTATAGCATACCACAGGGTTCTACACATGAGAGGTGGCTCAGCACCACTCCAAAGGGATGGTGTTGAGCCACCTTGCGAGACTAGAGCGGAGCTTTCACTCACTTTTATTACCTCTTATTTGATGTCAAAGCTGTGAGACATGCTGGGAGCTTTAGAAATGCATGCTGGGGTGGTAGTTGCTAGTTGCTGGTTTCTTATGGGTATCTATGGCACAACAGTGCTGCTATCCATTTATCCCTGTGTACCTCTGTGCAAAACTTGGCAAAAGATGTAAATGAGCAAATAAAAAAAAAAAACATGTATATAAGCAATTATTTTGTTTTGGATTAGTCATATTCACTATTGATGATAGGTATATTCTAATGAAGGCTAATTGATTAAATTAAGTAAAAAATATGATTCAACAAAGTACAATTTTGATGATGTGCAAAGCTATTCAGTTAGGTTACTGTAGTTATTTTCATACTATTCCTATCAAAGATTTGTTTACTTTTTAGCTAAAATAAAGCTGATGCAGGCAGAAAAAAGAAAGAGACAAAAGAAATATATAAAATAAATTTAAAACTGTGCTCTAAAGTTTGGCACCTATTTAGGCATCATCAATTGCACAAGAACCGTTGGAGATGATAAGGGTGTTAATGTGCTTATCACAATTTGATCTGCAGTGTGGGTAGTTGTTTTCACTGAAATTCTGAATTCTTGTTTTATAATATTTGACAAGAGAGAAGGAGCTAAGGTCTAATTTTCTTTTAGATTAGTTTAATACCAGCTTGTGATTGGCTATGAAATTTTAGGTCACTAATGCCAGTCTTCTTCTTTTAGGCTTTAAGCAGATTCTCTAAAGCAGCAACTGTCTTTTGGGTGTAACTTCTGGCAATCTTTGAAAGCTCCAAATGAACCAAATGGATTTGATGTATTGTATAGGTTTATCCAGTGTTTGTACGTGTGTGCAGGTGCCCTATGTGTTCGGTGTGCCTATGGTGGGTCCCACTGATCTGTTCAACTGTAACTTCTCCAAAAATGACGTGATGCTGAGTGCAGTGGTAATGACTTACTGGACCAACTTCGCCAAGACTGGGTAAGCTTAAAAAGGCTCAATGATGTGAAACATCAATCAGATGGAAAAGGTTTTTCATTTTCTTTCTGCGGCAAAAGCCTATGAAAAACAAAGCATCTCCTTAGCTAATTAGCTTTACTGTGATATCAATTTCTAATCCCTACCCAGGAGTAGAAGGGGCCTATTTTAATGAATGATGATCCAGACATCTAATCACATTTTTAAAAGTAGCATAAATGCACTGATTTATCCTCCCTTTCCCCCCATGCCCCCTTTGTTGTTTTTGTATGACTTCACAGAAACAACTTATATGGTTATTTGATTGTGGGCAAGGGACTCTTGAATTCACAGAAGTAAATCCCATCCAGGCTTTGAATGATATATCCAAAGTCTATTTTGTTATCAAGATGAAACGTTTTACACCTCTTCACTTTGTAGTGATAATGCATTTTACATAGGACAATTTTTTTTGGGTTAAATAAAAGCAATTCATATAGCTATGTATTGATATGTTTTTTTTTAAATAAATATAAACTTTATTAATGCTAATTGGGATGATAGCACTTTTTTCTCCCCTTATCCCATTTTTGATATTCTTTTAATGCATTTCAGATGTATTAGCAGAAAACACTGTTTAAAGGGAAAAAATAATGAGCTGACAGGTGAGGGATATGCTTTGGTTTTATTCCTTCAGGACGTCTTTGGTTTTACGAGGAGAAACTTATCAAAATAAATCATGAAAGAAGCACCACAGATTATTTTGGCATTGATCGTATCATAATGTTCTTTTCTTTTGTTTTGTATTCTTTTGGCCTTGAAGTTACACACTTTCTTTTTTCTCTACTCTGTCATTTTGGAGGGATGGGTGCTTACTCAAAATGTTAAATGAAAAACTACTGCCTGTAGCTAAAGGATTCTATTTATTAAACTGGAAATGAGATTATCTGCCAGCGGCAAAGAAAACATAACTGTGCAGGAGAAATACCACTTTAAAACTTTGCAACCTGACAATACAGTACCTTTGCCAGGTTTGTGTGCACAAATAAGGAATTTGATAGGTGCTGTGATACCATAGGCCTATTCAGATTTTAAAGATTATTCTACTTTTTTGCATGGGGTTTGCTTAGATTTTAACTGCTCTTTCCCTTATTCTAACACTATTAAACAACTAGATATAATAGAAATGGGTAGCCCCAATTACCCTCTTTCCAGACAGGCCACTGCAGTCTTGACCTGTCCTGTTTTCTGGATCAGCCAAACCATAGCAATGGATTTGCACAATACAGACCCCCTGCTCTGTCTTCTTCTGAACAGCATCTTTGTGTAAGGACTAACTTGGGTCCAGAGAAAAGACTGTTCCCATGAGACCATAAGTGATCTGCTGTAGACATGATGTAATTGAGGATGGCGAGGGGAGGGACTTTGAGGGTTGCTTCCTGGAAGTCCAATATCTCCAGTTTTAGGTGGGTAAAGCCCCAGGGGTTCCTGAGTACACTGATAGAGTTACTTGATTAATCTTCTCACTGTAGATTCTCACTGCAGCTTCTTTTAGCTGCTTGAATCACCTATGTCAGTTTTTTTCCTGCCAGATTATACAGAAACTTGTTCCTATATTTGGGCGTTTCTTCTTTGGTTCGATGCAGGTTCCTCAGATGTTAAAATAACCATTGTTTTATTTTATGTGTGGATGATGCTACAGTTTCAGCAAGTCTGTCCAGTAGCCGACGGTTCAAAAACCTCAATGTGGTCAAAGCAGGCCTGTAACATCTGCTTTGACTCATCAGTCTCTGTCCTCATGATCCTAGCTACATTCTTAGAGGTTTTCAGTTTTTGCCTGCAGGTTGGAAAAAGATAAAGCATACAAGTTATCAAAGGGTCTTAAAGCTTCATGGGAAACTATCCCCTCTGCCTGCTTCTTTTCAGATATAGTAACTTGGGTCCAGTGTGTCTGTGGTTTTTTTTGGTACATTTCCCTCCTTATTGTATTTTGATTATTCATTTGAGATGTCTGATGATGTCAAAGACCCCAGCTTCTCATATGCAGACTTGTAGTGGTCATAACAAGTAAGATAACTTCAGCTGTGAATGAAAGGCTTTACAGTTTATAAAAGACGACTCCTTTCCTCCTGATAATGGTCCGTTCGAAACAGTGAGGAGCCTGACATCGGAGTCTTCTGTCCAGGCTATCTTTACTATGTCAGCTTTTGGTAAAGCAGAGGGTGGCAGACTCAGGATGTCTGAATTTTTTGTGCTAAGAAAGAGAGGCTGATCTGTATTTTTTTTTCCTGCAGGGAGCAGGCAGGTGAAAAGATGGAAGCAGTGATCATGTGCCAGGACAATATGATCAAAATATTAAATTTAGCTGCTTATCTATGTCATGATGACACAATGCTGTTGAGATGATACTACCATTCAATTCACTGATTGAGCTTGGGCTATTTTGCAGCAATTTTTCATAACCATCATAATAGTTCTTTGTAATTATGCTCTGCTTATTGTTGGTTTACTACTTAAAACTTGCACCAAATACATTATTATTATATTGCTTATGTAAAGCTTAGCTCTTATGACACTGATAAGATTTGTTTTTCTCTCTGTACTCTAACACTGTACAAGACAAATATAATGGCTGAAAATTAACCTATTTTATTGAAAATTTTGCATTATTTTATTAATTTCAGGTTTACTCCACTGGAATTATTTTAGATTTCATCCATCTTCTCCTGCTTAGTCCTTGTCATGGGTGTGGTGGGGCCTATCTCCGGCAGTCTATGGGCGAGAGGCAGGGAACATCCTATACAGGTCACATGTTTATTGCAGTAGATACATCTTTAATGTATAAATTTATCTAAACAAGCACTATGTTTCACTATTTGGAAAAAGACCTTTCAAAGGTTTTAACTCTGACATGCAGAAAGAATGAGGATGCAATAAAGCTGTGACATTGTGTTATATTTGCAGTTTCTAGCACAGCCAGAATTGTCATTACCCCTGCAAAATCACCAAAAAGAGGGATGTGAATGGTTCAGTCCACTCTTCAATTATCAGTTGGAAACTTTCACTGAAAAGAGGTTTTTCTCTCCTGAGAGCACCTCAGACGATGATTGAACTCTGCGACAACTCAATTTAACCAGTGAGAGGCGCTGATCCCTGATGTATATTTGTAAGCTGCGTGGGCATATCAATCTTCACCTTGTGCACTTGTTTGGGTGTTTGTAGGGCTTCAAACTATAGATGCCTTTTTGTCTGCACATTCAGCAAAGTCAGCAAAGGGTATTTTAGTTTTCAAATGGATTTTTCTTTGATAACATTTTTTCTTCTGATGCAAAAACGTAATGTCCATTAAACAAAATGCAGTTTCTATAAAAATAATATGTGATTTCTTTCTATCATTTTGCGAAAAGTACAGTATATTTTATTAGGCTTTTACACCACAGATCACCAAAAACCAATAGAACTTTTTGAAATAGAAAGGAGTAATACATGGCTTTAGATATTAGCTTCTTTTCCATTGCTTCTCAATCCTGGGGCTTTTCAAAACCAGGTTGACATTTCAATATGTATTTACACTCTCCTGGGGCTTTGGTCCTATACCTGAGATGGGCCTGAATAAAATTTTCAGGGATTGAAAACAATATTTTGCGTTCAGGTATAATAATAATAATAATAACAACAACAACAACAACAACAACAACAACAATAATAATAATAATAATAATAATGATAATAATAATAATGATAAATGACCTGTCCAGGGTGTACCTTGCCTCTCGCCTGTAGACAGCTTGAGATAGGCACCAGCACCCCTTCAACCCCAGCAGGCATAAAGCATGACAGAAAATAGATGGATGGATGGATAAAAATAAATACCTTTATATAGTAAACACTAGATAGATAGATAGATAGATGGATAGATAGATAGATAGATAGATAGATAGATAGATAGATATAAACTAACTCCTTTACCAAATCTAAATAGAATACAAGTTGTCACATAGATGTTAAAATGTACAATATGAGGATAAAAAGTTAAAACAATAAAGCAAATCCACAAGAAAGAAACCAGGATTAAAAACATTCTCCCTGATGTATATATATATATATATATATATATATATATATATATATATATATATATATATATATATATATATATATATATATATATATATATATATATATATATATATATATATATATATATATATATATAGAGAGAGAGAGAGACTGTTCCACAAGGGCAGAACACAAAAGGAAAAAGCAACCTTCCCAATTGTTTTCCTTTGGACTTCAGGAGCCTTAAGAAGGGGAGAGCCCTGAGATTGGAGAGCATTAGGTAGAGAATTTAGGGTCGAAAGGCCAGAATGAAAGGAAGGGAATGTTTTACACTAGTAGTTTGATTAGATCATAAAAGCTGCTGAAAATCTCACAAGGCAACCAGTGAAGAGATGTAAATGCTAGATTTATGTGCTCATATTTTCCTGTTTTGGTAAAAAGCATTTTAAGCACATCCTGCAGTGTAGTGCAGAACTAACTTTATAACAAGATTGCACATAATACTCTTAATACTTTTAATTTGTCTCAAAATGATTTTAAGTGTGGAAAAAGACCTTTTCAAAACAGTATTTGTTCATTCAGTTAATGAAGAATCAGCCAACTTTTAACTATGTTTTAAAGGTTGCACAGTGGTAGAGTTCTGTGCTGTTATGCTGCTTTGGCTGCTGGCTAAGCCTGGTGTTGGAGTGGGGTTTACTGTTGAAAGTCAGCCAGTCAATCATTCATTCTCCATTAATAAGTTTGTTACAAAATGTAAATCTCAGATGTTTTAAACAAGAAAGTACATCTCAAAATTTAGTCTCTACAGTAAGTTTATCTACTTTCAAATATTGTTTTGGAAAATATTCAGCAAACTGTAGAATACCACTGAAAATCCCCAGTTATTAAGTGGAATAACTTGCTAATGATGAAAGAGAGCCCTTTTACCTTTCCTTAATACTTAGACTTTAACTGTCATTAGATTG